TTGCCACTTCATTGGATATTTTGAGCAGCTGCCCTCTGTATGCCCTGGAGACCTTACTGCTGCTCTTCTTGGAGGTTTATTAGCTTTTTTTTAGGCAGTTAGTTTTGCTATTTTTCCAGTCTATGTTTTCTAAACTGTATTGTTTTAGGTTTTTGCAACCCTGCCCATTTGGTTTCCAAACCTTGCAATAGAATATATCAAATCATCTCCACAGAAACTGTGCTTTATGATGTGTAGGTTTTATCTGGGGGGGGGAATGGAGGTTTGTCTTCTAACCAACCTAACTTTGCTCCTCGGGTCACGTTTGCCACATAAGGTGTCTGGTTTTTCAGTCCTTATCTGCTAGAGAGAGTCATTAAAAAAATGTGGCTAAGGCTCAGCTTTCTCCTAGCCTGAGATGGAGGACAAGGTGCAGCAATGGTGATAGTGCTGTATTATGTTTTGCAGGACTAATTTTAATTTTGACTGAGTTCCTTCGAGAGTCCTCTCTTTGTTGGTTGTGAGAGCCCTGGATGTTGCTTTGGTTCAGGTGGTGATCACTTCCAGGAAGCAAGAACAGAGAACTGTAAACTATCTCTAGTTCTGCCTGTTTGGACCAGATTGGGGGTACAATTTTACAGTGGTGTTGTACCCTCTAGTATTTTTGTTTTGTTTTTGCTTTGGTTGGATCACTGCTGTGAAGTATGCAGGCCAATCTTCTTCTTTCCCTAATATTTCTGTTGTTCTTTGGAAGCATTAGAAGCATCCACCTTCACTCTGGACATCTTTTGACTCATTGAAGACTGGATGCAGCACAATGTCCAAAAATCAAGGGCAACATCTATGCCACAGTCCGCTGATCCCTTATAGCTCCAGGGACCTTTTCTCTTAAACAGGGCAGAATAGTTCTGAGCAAGTAGAGTGGTATGTGCACTAAATTTATGGAGGAAGATTTCTAGTTTCACAGTTTTCAGGTGTATTATGCAAATAGGACTCGCTTGTTAGTGTGCGTTTATATTTGTTTCCATCACCAACAATGAAAGGACAGGGCTTTGTCTATGACAATTACCATCATGTGCAGAATAACAGATGGGTGTACACGGGTAATATGATTGCATAGCTGCACAACTCATTGTTTCTATTTCATGGAATTCATATGTCAAAGATGTGGGCAAGGATGTCTTAAGAGTGCTTAAACTAGTCACATATTTTTGTCAAGAAAAAAAGAGATCACCTTCTTTCTCCTCCTCTCCCACCTCCACTTCCTCTGTCATTTCTCCCTCTCTGGGAAGTTGAAGGAAAGCTGGATTCTTTTTTAATTGGTAGGAGATAAACAGTGTCACTCATTGATTTGCCACCAAAGTGAAATACCACTGAATTGTTAAGGGGGGGGGGAACACTCACTCTCCATATCTTCTGTCACTCCCTCTCCTGGGAACAAGCAAAAGTTGATTTTTTAAAAATTTGAAACATGACATATCAGTGTTTTGGCTTGCCACCCAAGTGATATGGCACTGAATCATTGGGGGAAACAGCTGCCAGTGCTGCTTTAGTTCAGTAATGATGGTCACACATCATTACTGATGCTTTAGTTCAGTAATGATGGTCACACATGCCAGAAACTCAACTAAAATGGAGCGATCCTACACAGACTACCCCCCCCCCAAAAAAAACCACCCAACACGGTAGCCCATGCCAGAGACCCAAAAAGGTGTGGGTAAGTGTGGAAAAGGGTCTGGCTGGCTCATGATGCTCTCTCTTCGCCATTGCCCAGGGTTCAGTGGTGGCCAGGGGTGCCTTTGTGTAGTTAAAACTGGTGTGCCAGTTGCACATGTTTCTTGAGAGGTCTGGTCTGGCCACAATGATACATGCCTAGTTACATCTCAGCTGGATTACTGTAACATGCTCCATGTGGGGCTGCTGTTGAAAAGTGCTTGGAAACTCCAGCAGGTCCAAAATGCCACTGCCAGATTGCTAACTGGGGCTGGTTAGAGGGAACATTTAACTCCCCAGTTACAGCACTCCACTGGCTGCTGATCCATTTCCAGGCCTTAACTCCCCAGTTACAGCACTCCACTGGTTGCTGATCCATTTCCAGGCGTAGTTCAAAGTGCTGGTTTTAACCTATAAAGGCTTAATGGCTTGAGTCCAAGCATTAAGATAATCAGGGGAGGCCTTTTCCTCCGTCCCAGCACCCGCACAAGGTGGGGATTTGGGAGCGGGCCTCTCTGTCTCTGCGCCTAGACTCGTGAACCCGCTCCCATGGAAAATTAGTCTGACCCCATCTTTGCTGTTCCCTCTGCAAGCAGGTGAAGACCTGACTTACTGGCTGCCAAGTGTTTTTTTTTTTAATGAATTGTTGTACCTGACTGCTTTGAATGTATTTTGATGTTGCTTATGTTTTTTTAGTATTGTATTAATTTGATCCTTTTAGTATTTTACAGCATACTCACTGTTAGCTTAAATAGTTGTAGAAGGGGTAGCCGTCTCTGATGAAGTAGATTTGTCCACAAACACCCACATTAAAAAAAAAATTTAAAAGATAGTCTTCAAAGTGCCATCACATTTTTGGTTTTTTTAATTCTGATTTTTATTTATTTTTCTCTATTAGTTTAAATGCTGTCTGTTAATTGTTGTAAGGCACATTTGGTCCATTTAAAGGAGAAACACAGGATTTTTTTTTTTTTAAAAATGAATGAATGAATGAATCCTTCTGGATTCAAACAAGAGGTGTGTGGATGGTCAGAATTCAGAGCATTCCTTAAATGTCCTGTTTCTGCTGAAGTGAAAAATAAAAGAACCCTGCTTAGTTCCTTTAGCAGCCCTTATTTCTTCCAACAGTGTCCTGTTTTCACCTGTCAGGTAAGGGAAGGAATGTGTTCCCTGCTTCCCTCAATAATGCCCACACAATAATGCCCTTTTTTCTTTTCACTGAGATGGAAGAAATGCTGCCCTTCCTATTTTACAAAGATAGCCATGAGAAAGAATACTACCAAACAACAGTTGATTAGGTTTTCCCTATTTTATTAATAAAACAGATTTTGCAACAATTTATTAAAAATTGATTTTTTCATGCAGTATAAGGGGTATACAAGAAATTCTCCATATACTCTCTTTCTCTCCTTCTCTTACTTTTTCTTCCCCAAAATATTTCTGACAGTTCCAGTCTAACTATGTTAAAGCATTTATGCAGTAACATTGTTGGAAAATGCCGCTGGGGCACAGCCTCATTTTTTTACAGTACATTTTTGCTGCAGTATTAAAAAAAAAACAGAAACATTAAATAGATATAGTCACTTTGTGGGTCTTTTATTTTCTGCAGGAAATTTTTAAAAAAATGTTGTGGGAGAAACTACAGTTGCATTTGAGACAAAGAATGTACTGCATGATTTAAACCTAAGAAACAGCACACAGTCAGTATTCACAAAGAGTTACAGACACACACACTCACCGCCAACAGTCCAAATACTTTTGAATTTTTTTTGTTTTTGTTTCCTGCTATGTTGGAATAATATTTTCTACAGAAATGTTTTTGTGTATACATTATATACATTATTATTGTCCTTTTTTGAAAAGTAATAATTTGTATTAAATAAAGTCCTGATGAAGTTTATTAATAAATTAAGAGAATACTGTCAACACACAGACACACACATGCACGTGTGTGCGCACACACCCATACTCACCCACACCCACACACCAGACAACACCTTCAGTGGTTAGTGCTCACACGGAGTAAAGTGTTCTACTTTCTATGTGGTAGACTTACTCGCTATTGTCCTAACACTGCCAGGTGCCTCCACAACCTTTCAGTGATACATGTTCGGGAAGAGATTCTGTGATGCCTCCAGTGAATTAAGACTGGCGGGTCATCTGGCGAGATGGCAGGATTAGTGGTCTCTGCTGTGACACAGTTGATACACCTCCTCTCTCATGCAGGTACTAAGTGCTAGACTGGGAACACTGGTGGAAAAAGAAATCCATCCCGATGGTGTGAGAGAGGAAAATACAGCAATAACTGTGTGTCCCTGGCCCACCACACCTTATTTCATAAGCTTTAATTCATAACAATCTGAGAAAAGGCAGTCAGTATTGCTAATATTCAGTAATATTCTGTGTCAACTTGATAGCTGAAATACTTCTACAAGAGGTTGTATGAGAGAAGCAATTCTATTTATATTGCTCCACAGCTGTCTCCGGGTTCAGAGATGTTGCCGTTTTGAGGAGCACTTTAAACAAGAGAGATGTGAGTGGGATGCGTATACAATTTTGGAAATAAATTGTCTGTCTCTAGCCCACCCCCACGCCCAGCCAGGCTCGTAGGTTTCTTTCTGTGCTTTTCACATGGTTTCCATAACCTGATCACAGCATGCTGTGGGAATGAGCCATTGCTTACATGTGCACATTCCTGCTTGAATAGACCGGGTTCACTCAATTTCTGGGCAAATTCTGTCAGTGGAGCCTTCTCATAGATCAGTGCTTTCCAACTGGTGGCGCTTCACAGGATGTCAGGTGGCATGAATGCCAACTGTTCAAAAGCACAGTCATGTGCACTAAAATCCTATAATGCAACAAGAAAAGGGGTGGAGGAAGAGTAAACCCTGCTTCTGTGCCTTTCTCATATACTGTACAAGGGACAATGTACAGCTGTGAGTACAGCAGTGGCAAGAGATTCAGTCAATGCAGTGGCTCTCAACACGACAACACTTTGCCCAGAAAGAGAGAGAAAGAGAGAAAGAGAGAGAGAGAGAGAGACTGGTGTCTGCTGTAAAAAGGATGGATGCCCCTCTGGGTCATGCAATCTTTATCCCAGCAGGCATGCACAGAACCACTAGCACACACAAGCGCATGGTTGGATCAGACCTTATCAGTACATGATGGAAGCACTTGAACATTTCCTTTGAGCTCTCACTAGTTGCTTGCCAATGACAGGTCAGTTGCTCTCAAGAGAGAAAAGGGATGAAATCATAATTTCTGGAAGGAGTCAAACCTGGCTGGGGGTG